GTAAAACTATGGAATAATTTAAGTGTGGACATAAAAAGCAGTAAGAATATTGATGAGTTTAAACACAGATATAAAGGTATGTGTCAATCAAGATATATGCAAGAACAGGCTTAATGATTAATCAGACGGGAATGTGGATGTAGAATATGTATCCATGTAGTAATACTGCTTGCAAACCAATGATGATAAGATGATGTTAGGGGGTAGGACTAGATAAGTCTAACTTCTTCCTACTTCGTTCAAGAATGTACTAGGTATAAGTAAATTGAAAATATTTTTGTGGACATGTCTGGAATTATGTGTGATTACATACTGACTGTTGTTACATGTTTGAAAGAATAAATAAATCAAATCAAATCAAATCAAATGTAGAGAGGTGTTGTCGAAGCCTCCTGTGACCCAGTCTCATTGAACAGCGCTGGCAGCAGTGCAGAGAGATTAGCTCTAAAAGGTTTTGAGAGGGATTGACCTCTCTAGCCAATCAGGGATTTTCAGTTATTTCTGCTTGATCAGTAAGTTTAGTTGCCTTCTCATCTATCGTAATTTCATAACGACATATCTGAAGAGCCGGTCAGAGCATGGCAGAGTGTAGCAGATCACAGTAGAGCATAGTGGAGCAGGGAGAGGGAGCACTGGGCGGAGCAGCGTGGACTGATTTGGAGTATCATGCTGCACTACCTTAAGTTACAAACTGTAGTTTTAAGCACATTTACTTACATCTATGTTCTGAATGAGGAAATGCTTGCAGGAGCCATCCCACTGCACAGAGAGCACATAACCCTGTTTCTCTTGACTCTTCCTCACCAAGAAGTCTCCATCACTCTGCAGCAGCTGCTGGACCTCCGGTCTGGGAATGGCTCCGTGGTACCAGTCCTGCTGTCCCAGAGGACGATCCACTTCCTGGATGGGGGTGAGGACTGGAAGCACCTGGAGTCAGGACCAGAGAAAAGCAGTCTTTCTGGCTGACACCAATGCAATGATGAAACAATAAGAAGTGAAGCTAATATGGAGCTACTTCAGAGAAGAATCTGAAATACTTTAAAGTCTAATCACACCATCCTTCAAGTTTCCAGGGTGCTACAGAGATGGGAGTTGTAAAGAGAGAAGATGCAGTTCACAGTTTAAATAAGTTAGACTTGAAGTCCAAGATGATAAAAGATGTTAAAATATTATTTGCTCAAAATGATCTTTTACAATATGCACACATTTTTATCTTTCTGACAGATTGAAAACCGAAAGAGTGACTGCACAAGGCTTTTTCCTATTAAGAGTTTGTATGCAGGACGGCTCGGTCAAGGCGCTCTGCTCTCTGTGTGCTATCGTCTGTCAGCAATGATAAAATGTAAACTGGCTGCCAGCTGTCTGTGAAGTAAACTTAATTTTAGGTCAGGCAGACTTTCGAAAGAAGTAACTTTCCTGACAAAGATGACCTCAATAAATCCCATGGTGCCTTCAGAAGCATGAGACCCCAGAGAAAGATCGTGTGCCTGAGTAAGCTCAGCAGTGCAGAAGATACACTTTAAAACTCTTGGCACTTTCATCAAAACAAGATGAATTGTTTGTTGTGTGGTAAAAGGTCTGAGTGTACAAAACAGCCACTGCAGTTAAAGCTAAGAGCAGGGAGGTGTAAGTGTGACCAGAGGAAGTGTCCTTCAGCTGAAACAACCACATCAACACACAGAGAAATAGATATTTAGTGTGTACAGTGTGATACCATAGCTACCTCACATTTGGGTTTAAACAAGCCACTCAGATTATTTTTAATCCCATCCAGGAGTTTGGCAGGATTTTGGCTGGGGTCCTGGAAAACAAATCCAAAGCACATTGTGTTGGTCAATAAAACATGTGTAATGCTGGTAAACATGATACCATGTTCACCATTGTAGTTTAGTGTCAGCATGCCAGCACTTGCTAACTAGCTCTAAGCACAAAGTACAGCTTTTTGGGCATTTGGTCATAAACCAAACTATTGCATAAAAAAAATCTGACTTTTCATTAGAGACCTCCCTTTAACTGACAGCCTTTTGACCTGGGATGGCTTGGTAGACTCCCAGAGCCCAGATCTACAAAACCCATGTTGTAGAGCAACCTC